GAATCTTCTCTAGGTCACATTTGACCTTCGAAAGTCAATATGAAGGTCACCAAATGAAAGCTCATATATGACTTCCTATATGTCTCTAATACAAACCTAGGCTCCATCTGTGACGGTATCGGAAATACAAGTCATTGTAATTGTATTACGTCAAGTTTGACCTTCAAAGGTCACCAAGTCAAGTTGAATGTCACCAAATGAAAGTTCATGTGTGACTTCCTTTAAGTCTGTGATACAAGCTTAGGCTCTATCGGTGACCTTTTCAGTGATAGAAGTCATAGAATTTTCACTCGGTCAAGTCTGACCTTCAAAGGTCAATATGAAGGTCACCAAATGAACGTTCATACTTGACTTCCTATATGTCTCCAATACAAACCTACACTCTATCTGTAACAATTTTGATGATATAAGTCATTGAAAATTCACTGTAAAGTTTGGCTGTTGAAGGTCAAGTTCAAGGTCATTAAATGAAATTTCATACATGACTTCCTATATGCCCACAATACAAAGCTCTATCTATAACAGTTTTGGTGATAGAAGTCATTATAATTTTGCTATGTGAAGTTTGACCTTCAAAGATCACCTAAGGTCAAGTTCAAGGCCACCAAAAGAAATTTCATATATGCCCCTATAAGTGTTCAATACACATATGTTCCCAATCGTCAATATTTTCAAGCCTAGAAGCCTTTGAAAATTGTAACATTTTGCTTTGACCTCAAGTTTGACCTCTCAAGGTCATCTGAGGTCAACTTTAACATAGCCAATGTATAAGTCATTTATGACTTCCTATATGTCGATAATACAATCTTAATCTCTATCAGCAACCATTTGGCCTCCTCAGGCCATCTTGCATATTCATAAAGTACAGCGCCCCCACTAGACCCACTTCCGTCGATTCAATCAAAGTGGCACTTGCACTGTACATTGACGCTACCAAGGGAAGTTGATTGCCTGATTTAGAAAAAAATTTATCACACGGTTTTTGAGAAATAATTTTTTAAAATTTCTCAGTCCTATCTTTAACATTGGGGCCAAAATTTCAAGGGCCCATAAAACGGACAAAAATTATTCAATCAAATATCCGAAAAAATAAAAACCTGGAGATATGGTCTAGTAGTTTGCTACAGCAAATTTATACGAAAATTCATCAGGCCAGAAAAAAGATAAAAAATGTTCCGGACGACGGACGACGGACGACACACCACGAGAATGCGATGATTTGCAAATCACTGAAACCATAAATTTTATTGAAAATGGTGCCAAGACAACATATGAGATGTTTAAACTGAGAAATTATATTGTTTTTTGAAAAATATCTGCTCGTTTTGAATTTGATGCAGGCAACACGTTTCAAAATAGTTGGGGCAGTGGCAACAATCAGCGAGAAAAGTTGTACTACGTGTAAGAAATACACCTGGTGGAACATCTCACAGCTAATTAGATTAAGTTGTACATGTAGGTAATAAAAACATTAGACAGGATTACTTCATGGGAGGTTTAAAACTGGAATGTGCTCCACATGAAAAAGATCTGGGAGTGATTGTTGACCAAACCCTCACGGGTTCTAGCCATTGTGCCGTAGCAGTTAAAAAAGCCAATCGGATGCTGGGATACATTGCCAAAAGTATTGAGTGCAAATCCAAGGAGGTCATACTTCTCTTGTACAACACATTTGTCAGACCACATCTGGAGTTTTGCGTACAGTTCTGGGGACCATACTTTAAGAAAGATATAGAGGCTCTAGAAAAAGTTCAGAGAAGAGCTACTAAGCTAATTCCAGGTATAAAAGATGAAAGCTATGAGAAGAGGCTGAAGATCCTTAATCTCTTTAGTCTTAGGAAAAGGAGACCTAGGGGTGATCTGATTGAGGTCTTTAAATATTTTAAAGGGACTAACAAAGTGAATTATGTAGGATTCCTTCGGCCAAGTTTTGTTAGTAGAACTCGGGGTGACAAATGGAAGTTGACCACGGGTAAATTTAGCACTCATATTAAGAAATATTTTCTCACCCAGTGAGTAGTCTCAGTGTGGAATAGCTTGCCTGACCATATTGTTGAGGCAGAAACCTTGGGAATTTTCAAGAGCAGGCTTGACTTAAAGCTAGATACCATTGAGTCATTGAGTATCTGAAGTGATAAGAAACTGGCGAGCCTAGTTGGGCTGAATGGCCTGTTCTCGCCGCTCATGTTATGTTATTTTAATTGGCAACAGGTCAGTAACATGATTGGATATAAAAGGTCTTTCAGAAGGAAAGATGATGAGGGCTTCACCTCTGCGTGAAAGTCTGCATGAGCAAACAGTTTAAAATTTTAAGAATAAAGTTTTTCAATGTACAATTGCAAAGAATTAGGGGATTTTTTCTTCAATGATACAAAATATAATTAAAAGATTATGAGAAATCTCTAAGGGACATGGCCGAGAACAAATATTGAATGGCCACAAGCTTCAGGCCCTCAGGCAGCACAGCATTAAAAAAGTCAGGTTTCTATCGTGAAAATCACTGCATGGGCTCAGGAACACATCTGTAAGCTACTGTTGGTGAACGGAGTTAGTCACTGCAAAGTGAAAACTTTGCCATGTAAACATTAAACCATATCTGAGCAAAATCCAGAAATGCTGTTGCCTTCTCTGGGCCCAAGCTCATCTAAGATGGACAGAGATGAAGAAGAAGACTGTTCTGTGGTCTGACCGATCAAAATGTGAAATTATTTTTTTGAATCATGGATGCTGCATCCTCTGGGCTGAAGAACAGAGGGACCATCTGGCTCATTGTCAGCGCACTGTTCAATAGCCAGCGTGCGTGATAGTATGGGGGTCCACTAGTGCAAATGACATGGATAACTTGCACATCTGTGAAGACACCATTAATGCTGAATAAGGTATGCAAGTTTTGGAGCAACATATACTGCCATCCAGACATCTTCTTCAAAGAATGCCTTGCTTATTTCTGCAAGACAATGCCAAACACCATATTCTGCAAGTATTACAAAGACATGGCTCTATAGTTGAAGAGACTCTGTGTCAATCTGGCCTGACTGCAGTCCATACCTGTCATGCACTGGGAATATTTGGCACATTATGAAACAAGGGAGATGACACAGGAGGCCGCAAAGTGTTGACAGCTGAAATCCTGCATCAAAAAAGAATGGGAAAATATTTTGCTTTCAAAACGACAGCATTTGTTCTCCTCAGTTCCTTAATGCTTAGTGAGAGTTCTTTAAAGAACAGGTGATGCAACACAGTGATGAACAACCCCCTGTCCCAAATTTTTTGACACATGTTGCTGGCATCAAATTCAAAATGAGCAGATATTTTTCAAAAACAATATAATTTCTCAGTTTAAATATATAATATGTTGCCTTTATATTACTTTCAATAATATTTAGGGTTTAAGTGATCTGCAAATCATTACATTCTTTTTTTATGTACATTTTACACAGTGTCTCAACGTTTTTTGGAAATGGGGTTGTAGAAGAGATGGGCACCATAAGCTTCAGATCAAAAAAAAGAGGACGATTTATACTTACCACATTGCAAAAAAAAAAAGTTAGTCTTACCGAGTATTACAATCTCGTATTTAGACTGAAAACACTTTTTTTATTCCCTTTTTTCTAGGCAATTTTTCTGATGATTTGAGATCATTTTGATTCATTTCTAGACTTGCCAATGGGACAAAAAAATTTCACCTGTCAAGCAAATTGTAACTCAACCCTTAGAGCACAGAAATAAAAAAAAATATATATATATGTAAATTTAGTTATCTTGTGCGGGGGAGCTCTTTTAAACAAGTCGCCACGTTTCAACAGCTTTGATTTCAATATCTCACATCATTGAGCAACAATAGTTACATTTAGTACTTGAAGGGTTAAAACAAGCAAATATTTTCGACTAGAGAGCGAGAGAAATAAGGAACTACAGTCTCCTACTAAGATTAAAAGACTTGCTAAGACAGTCACTTCCTGCAGTCCAGCAACAGGTCCAAAGACATGCTCTGTCATGGTATGGTGTTGTGTCAGTGCCCATGGCCATGGCAGTTCTGTTGAGGCATCGTTAATACTGAAAAGTGCATGCATTACAATGGCATGGCTGCATGAGAAGAGGGTGAGGGTGCGGGATTTGTCACGTCCTGAGTTTCTTTTTTTAATCGTTTCCCCCCACAATCCAGCTGCCCTTGTGGCACAGCGGTTAACTGTGCTTAACTTGGGCTTGAAAGGTCCTGAGTTTGGGTTCTAACTACGGCTTTCACGGTGTGGTCTTGGGCAAAACACTTTGCTCCCACATTGCCTCACTCCACCCAGGAGTATAACTGGGTACCAGAAAATTGTCAGGGAAACCTGACTAAGAGCTGAGGAGTAACCTGTGATGGACTAGCATCCCATCCAGGGGGGAGTCGCAATACTCCGAGGCACCTGATGCTACAGAAACTGGGGTTAAAGGAGGCGATCGCACCCCAGCAAAGTATATTTCAGCGGAAAGTAAAATTCTTGAAGTGTCTAAAACTCATAGTTGTATAGATTTTAATTAGGTAATGATCCAGTGTGACGCATTTTAAAACCGGCAAGTCTTCAAATCGGCGTCAATATCAGGGGGCAGACATTTTTACTTGGGGAATCTAAGGCTGCGTTCGGAAAGCACACTTGTCCACTCGCTCACTCACTCTCTATATTGTTTTCAATGTAGAACATTCACTACATAGTGCCCTGTGTAGTGGATGAGTGTGCATTTCGAACGCATTATCCAATCAAATGCCAGTGCCGCGGTGCTTATGGCGTCAGTTATTCTCTTTCATGACAGCAGTTGTTCTCTTTCCTTTCGTCCGGGCCTTCGAGAAGTTCAGAGGGCCTTCAGTAAACCCTCCCTTTACAGCTTGACTGCCCGTAAGCTGTTTTTATTTGAGATTATTTTTTTTGGGGGGGGGATTTTTTTTCTTTATTAGACAGTCATATAGTGGAGAGTGACAGGAAGGTCGGGGAGAAGAATGGGGGAAGACATGCGGCAAATGACCCGAGCCGGAATCGAACCCGGGTCACCGCAGGAAGGACACAGCCTTTTTCGTGCGCGCGCACAGACCGATGTGCCACCAGGGCGCCCCAACGCAAGCTGTTTAAATTTAAGCTGGCCTGATTAACAATAAAACAATTTCTCAACTGAGCAACCAAGACCTATACATGACCTATAATTAGAAATGATGATGAAAAGGTGAATTCCCTTGCCTACATTTACATAATTGATCTGGCATTGTAAATCCAAAACTTTCGCTGACTTTACAGCATTTATTTCCGCCGTCCTTAGGATTGTCACACAGCTGTGCAACTTGCCTTACAGCACCCTTTAGCTGTGACATCAGAATAAAGAACAGATTCTCACAGCTTCACAAACTAACTTACGCAAATCTGTGCTGCTTAACGAGCAACACAAGCGCTAAAATTATAAAGACACATTGATATTTTACGTCGTCATTTATGCACAGAAGAAGACGCCTCATAATTTTGTGGTGCAATGCATAACAATGCTATCAAAAGTAAATTAGACTGTCGTCAGTTTTTACCAATTAGTCTGAGAAACTGTGGCTAATCGGGAGATGTAAACTGCGAGAGGTTTAGGTTATTAAGCATTTTTTAAAGGTGAGGTTTCCGAAGATCAAATTCAAAATCAGAAGATTCCCTAAGTAAAAATATCTGCCCCCTGATATTGAAGCCAATTTGAAGACTTGCTGGTTTAAAAATGCATTGCGCTGGATTATTATCAAATTAAAATATGCGTTTTAGGCACTTCAAGAATTCTACTTTCCGATGAAATATACTTTGATGAAATGTGATCTCCTCCTTTAAGATGAGCCACCTGACTTGGGATAGACTTTGCCTTGACTTGCCTGGTCAGTTGATCCTTCATTTCCCTAATCGGTTTTCATTATTTAATAATTGTCTCAAGCTTCACTGCTCTTTCTGTGCTCTCCCTCTCACCTGCTGCCTATTGTAAACTGCCGTCCTGTATATTGAAGTTCCTAGTCTGTGTTTCCCCTTTGCTGGATTGTTCTCCTCTGTCCTCAGCATTAAGTACTGGTAAAAGTGAAACTATGTAATAGGGAATTTCTCCCCTAGTGTTTGTGGTCCTGTTGAATAGCCTCTTCCAATACCTTCTACACTCCAGTTCAAAGACAGGTTTAACCTGCCTGCAGTCCTGTCTCGTCCCAAAAGAGAACGTATGGTGCAGTTTGAAATGCAAAATGCGACAACATAGACCCCGTACTGTTGCACACCGTAAGATATGTTTGGAGGAAGAATGGGACAAAATTACAGCTAAGGCATTTAATCACTTGGTGTCTTCAGTTTATTTCCCAAAAATATCTCCTTTGATCCGGGAAGTGTTTCTACAAGAGCAGGAAGCTGATTAAAATCCTTGAGTCGCCTTTGAATCTGCAAGCCGACATAAGTGGGAACACGGCCAAAGAGCTGTCTCGTACTGCAAACTCCAGGGCTGGCTGCTGAATAGACCCCCCCTAATGCAGGAGGATTAATGTTTGTGGGACTAATCTTAACCCTTAGAGCGCTGAAATAAAATCATCATTGAGTAACAATAGTTCCATTTAACGCTCTAAGTGTTAATTATAATCATTCTGAGTGTGAATTTCCATGCTGGCAGTGGGAGTTTTACCATGATATGATGGGAAATGCTGCCGTATGTACGGTCTCCCGCCAAAACATAGTCGAGCGATGTCGTCACAAAATCTTCTGCCGTAAGAATGAACAGATTTGGCTCTATAAAGTCACTCATGGCTGTGGAAACCCCAAATGGTGTCACGGCCTGGAAGTGTCACCAGATAAAACCTCAGGTCTCACAATAAGTTCACAGATTATTCTTGGGTGGTTTAAAATATGGCCACTGCAACATCAAAATGTTTTAATTAACCCTTTCAGCGCCGTGGGCAACTATAGTTGCCCAATGATGTAAGATATCAAAATCAGACGCTGTTGAAAACCTATCATGTGGCACCTTTGGTTGCCACATGATAGTTTTTCAACAGCTCAGGATGACTACATGTTTAATTCATTGAAAATGTATTCAGCACTCAAAGGGTTAAAATTAACTAAATAAATATGTTGTAATAGTGAAGTTATAGAATATCAAGCTGTAGTATGCTAGCTCTCATTGTTTTGTTTTACCGTGATGCAGATTATACTCCCTTATAGGAAAAGAAAACCCTTTTTTCAGCTGTCACCCAAAAAAAGTATTTGTTCCTCATTTAAATATTTTTGAGATTTTTATGTACCGAGTAATCAAACCTCAAACCTCTGAAATACAACTAATTAGCACAAGTTCATGAATGCCGCCATTCCTATATTTTAGCCAATCCAAAAATACTTTGTGTGACAATGTCCCGGATGTTTTGACATCCTTGGCCACCGAGAAATCAGCTGATCTGTTTAAAGTGTATGCAAATTAGCCTTGATTATCACTCGTGCTGCGTCTTCATTTTACGTCGAATGATCAAGGTCAGATATTACCAATCATTATGAGAACCTGAGCGACAAAATCAGTGGTAATGCTGCTGTGTGTGGCTGTTGATTGCTCCAACAAAATGGGAAACTCGGACCTACCCGCGGGAATAAGCTTGCACTCATTTCCCTTGAAGAAGCCTGACTTCATAAAATAGCAGTGCCCACAGAATATCCCCTTATAACAACAACTAGCCCTGGCTAATTCACAACCAACTTCCTTCATTGACATGATTTCCAATTATAGTAATAATCCAGTGGCAATTGAGGACATGGCTTCCCTCCCCCATGCGAACTAACAGCAACGAAATAATGGGCAAAATTCGGTGCAGGAAAATAATTTACTCAAAAATATGCCAATGCTTTTCAAATGACAAACTGCTCTGAAACTTCCGCGCAACCTTTTCCGCACATCAGGTAATTTAATTTGCACCTCATGATGGTTTAAATTGTTTAAATTAAATAAAAGACCATTTGAAATGTCTTTATGCCCTAGCTGGCATTTTAAGGTTTTTTCACTGTTGAATCAACATCATGGATCATAGTTGAATCACTGTTGAATTATGTTTTAATTTTGAAAGATGAATCAATGTTGATTTCGCAACGTTTTTTCAACGTTGGGCATGAGTACCATACACAACGTTGAATCAACGTCATGGATCATAGTTGAATCACCGTTGAATTATGTTTTGATTTGAAAGATGAATCAACGTTGATTTCATAACGTTTTTTCAACGTTGGGCATGAGTACCATACACAACCTCCACTTTTTGGGGGTTTTTTTTTGGCCAAAACGATTTTAAAAGGGGTCACTAATATTTTTGGGGGGTTTTTATGAGTGAGAAGGGGGTTTAGAATGTTGGGGGGAAATTTTTAAAAGGAAGGGGTAGATGCGGCACGAGGAAAAAAATTTTTTGCGGTAATTCCAGTTTCCACCACCGTGCTCCTCCCTCATGACATTCACTTTGTGTACAATCCCTCCAACTTCCTCTGCCCTTCTTTTTTTTTTTGTGAGGCTGTCATCAAAGGTTTACATGTTAAGTTAGTGTTTGCAGCAGGATTCAAACCTGGGAACCTGTGAACAAAGCAATTTCAAACACACCATACACTGTGGTCTTAACCACTACACCGACTGAGTTTGTTGTCAGCCCAGCGCATCAGTTTCCATTCATCGCTGAAGGGTGGTTTTTTTTATATATATATATATATATATATATATATGGGTCAATCCAAGAAATGATGTTTGGGCCTATTTTAGGGTCGTTTTGACTTCAGAGAGCTATAGAAAAAAAAATAATCCACCATTCTTCCTGTTTCTAGTCTCATTTGAAAGAAAACATCCAGGGCTTCAAAAGAAGGGCAAATTTGCACATGTCGGCCCATAATTTCGCGAGTTATTGAACCCCAAAGTTTAAAAATTGCCCAAAATTGCCATTTTTGGGCAATTTTCACCCATTCCAAGCGATGTATTGTCAAGCCAAATAGTGCTAGACCACCATAAACTTATTTTTTCCTTAGTGGGGGGATCATATCAAACATTTCCATGTGGTTTAGCCATTTCATGACCTCCATTTTTTTCCCTATATCTTTTAATTGGAATTTCAACTCGTTGAAACGTGAATTAATGAAACTTTTAGACCATCAACTAGCATACTAAGAAGGTAGTCCCACTGTTCATATTACATCCAGCCAAGAGGGTCCCTATAAGGGTTATGTTCATAGAAATATTTTTTACATACATTGACCTGAGCCTGTGGCAGCTTGAAAAAACTATTTTTCAACGCTGGCCTTGTCACTCACGTTTCACTGACATTTACCCATATATAGAGCAAACTACGGCTAATTTCTTTACTTCCTACCATCCAAACAAAGTATATGTAGCAACCCGAAACATAAAATAATAAAGAAAATTCATTCAGGTTGGCTCTATGGGGTGTTGCTCGGTGAGTGAAACGCGAGTGATCATCCGGCGCCAAAAATGTTGCAAGAAGAGGAAAGCGACTTCCTGTTAACCGGCGAAAGTAAACTACATCCGGGGTCCTTCGTAAACAACTCAGAGGATCTCAAGCTTCGATTGAGGCAAGTTTACGGCAGATTTTACTGAAAAATACAAGAGAAATTCTTCAGAAAGGTAAGGAATTTGGATGAAATTCTTACAAAATATTGTTGAGGGGGTGTCTGGTTGTATGCAGATGTCTCAATTTGTACCGAAACAATGTATTTTGGGTTTTATGGGTTAAAACAGATCGGCGAGTGAAATTTCCAAGCCGGTACGGCCATTGGTTTGCGTGTACGGAGCCATTTGCTGTGCCTGGTGTGGGTTTGGGGAAAAGTGATACGTGAGTGACTGGCCAGCCACCTTGCCGAAAATGGTCTCTGTGGCTTGAATTCCTGTATGCTTGGCTGTAAATCGATGTTAATTCTGTAGAATGAGGTGCCCCACGTGTGTTACTACCTTTTTAGGCCATGTTTGGGCATTTTGAGTCGACCCCCCCACCCCAAAGAAGGGCGGAATAGTGAAATTTTGTCAGAATTTTCACTTTTTGGCCCCCCAAACGGCCTAATTTCGCTAGATTACGTGCTTTTTCCAT